TTAGATTTTGAAAATAGTACATGTTTACTGAAAACTTACTGTGGAAACATATATTTTACTTTGATAAATAAATTCACTCATTTATTCAATTGATGTGAAGTGTTAAAACTACTTAATACATGTACATATTTCAGTGATTCCCTGCATTCTGATGTTAGCATAAAGCAATATAAGTGAATATTTAATGATATCAAGGCAATGGTACCTAAGTCTTTTTTCCCCCCCATCAAATTTCTAAAAGAACAAGTCACTAAAGTATTACTGGGTTTTTAGATCAAAATTAATTCCTTCAATCACTCAAACCAAAGAGGGCCACTTAGACTTGTATAAATAGCCTCCGAACTGGAAAAAGCAACTCTGAATAAACAGATGTGCATTTATGTCACATAAATACATATCTATCCTGGTGGGTGGGTTTCCCACACCACAGGGAGCGAGGGCTGGGGCCTACTCAGCATCAAGCAGGCACGCGCAGCCAGTGTGTGGCTCCACTTTGCATACCCACCGAGAACCTGCACAGGCCTGCTGGTGAAGGAAGGACACCCTCTCAAAAGGCAGGCTACCAAAAACCACCCAATCCCAAAGAGGCCTAGGACCTGGATGTGGCCCCTGAAGTACAAACAGCATTTTAAAATGTCATAAAAATTTTCTAACAGCCATTTTCAAAACCTAAATACTGCAAAAACAATTAACGGAATGAGTTTAATATTCATTTTGCGCCTTCATAAATCCACTGCTTTCAGTAACACACGACAGTTCTTTCAAGCATAAATATAAGCCTCAAATTTACAAATCTACACACAGCCCAAAATGAGAGCGACACAAGTGAAATATTAGTTCCTTTTCCGCAAACATGGATCAGAGCACACAGAACCGTGTCAGTCTAGGATGGTGAGAAGAGCCTCTATATTTAGGACACTGAGCAAAAGCTAACACAGTTTCCCACACTAATACATCTGAAACCGATATCTCCAAATCAGTCTTCAAAAAAGTAGCAAAATGGCAGAGGCCCCAACAAACGTTAAATCGAACCACTTTCACTCTGGGAGAGGACAGGGTTAAATAAATGAAATAATCATCTTTTCAGTTTGCCTGTCATGCCGGTATTTATCCTAGAGAAATAAGTAAGTTCCCATTAGATCAAAAGTCATTTTGTTAGATACACCTTGCCCCAAATTACAAAGTAATACAGGCCATTAATAAGAAGCAGAACTGAAAACACAGCCCCATTCTATTACCCCTATCTTTTAAAAAATGTCTGTGCCTAATAAATTACCAAATGAGTTTATATTCATAGTCTTCCTGTACATGGTCTTATATTCTTAAAAGCAGTTCTCAAACCAGAATTAATGCTATTTTATACCAAAGTAAAAACAGCATTCTCATTTCTAATGAAGATACATGCTGCTTGGGGTCAGATACACACCCCTGAGACCATATGACACTGGGAAAATGAAACAACTATATAAAGCCTTGCCAAAAATTCATTCCTAAACACAGATAAAAAACCAAACCAAAGAAAAAAGAGGCATTAAAGGTCCTCATTATAGATGCAAGGTAAGACCATGTTGCTTCCTCCTGGAATACACTTATTGATTTTGTGTTAATATGAATGTAAATTTAAGTGATAGCTTCTTAAAAGAGTAGCTGCCATTAAAAAAAGAACTGTCAAAAGTAAGTCCACAGAAAACAGGCTCTCCAACGAAAACAATTTTAAGCTATGCGTAATTTCATCCCATAGAACCTAGGAAAACAGAAAATGTGTAGGTATTTTCATTATATTCTCTTTGTTTCTTACATAATAGGCCTTTTCTATGAACCGCAGATGCTAATTCCACATCTTCTGATGACAGAGCAGCCAGCCAGCCATACATCGGCAAATACAGAAATCTAGGCCACAAATTCTTTTTACAAGATTTAAAATATCAGATAGGGTAAGATTTCACTGGGGTAGGGGAAGTGGGGAGTGATGGTTATGCTAGCTGTAACATATCATACAAATTTTAAGGTAATCAGGAACCAGCCTTTAACTTCCTGCTTTGCAGGCCAGCTAATCACTTTCCTTTTAATGATAAGGTTTTTTTATTATATTGTGTTACAATCTATAAAACTAAAGTTAAAATAGCATTACTGGAATTCAGTATACATGCAGACATTATAAAATCTCAGTTATATGAGCAAGTCTCAATATTCCTCCTGAAACTGCTCTATCTGAATACTTTCTCTCACAAAAACCCAAAACTGTGTCATAAAATGGCTTATTTCACTTTTCAAAACGTGCTTCCTCCCACAATATATGCATGCTTTGTTCTTAATTACAAAAACATTTGCCACCCAATATAAACCGTTTCCTAAAATCAAAAACGAAACTAAATGCGTTAAAAGCCACAAGAAAATTTCATCATTTAATGTGATTTAATAGCATTTTATGACCTATAGTTATGTAGTAATTTAATGTTTTGGACAAATGACTGTTTCTTAGTCATTTACCAGGGCAAACACTAAGTGATACTACCATTCCAGAAACAAAAATATAAAGAAGACACACTCCACATGTTACACGGTAAGGCACCTAAAAGAAATCTGTGAATCTAGGTCACATGCCTGTCATTTGTCTCCCCCTCAAAAATAAAAGCTATTCCCAAGGGTCACACTGAGGACATAATGGATTCACTCTCATTCCAAGAAAACAAAATACTTAAAATGACTGGTGCCATTAAGAGATGATACTGTAAAGCAGCACGAACTTGCATCTGCCTCTCTCATCCTTTTATTTCCAGTCTACAAACGATGTGAATTTGAAACTGTCCCTTTAAAAGCAAACTGACAAAGCAAATCTTTTCTAAGTTAATTACGTAGGTAGATTTTCATAAGGTTTCTCTGTTTTTACCTGTGCGATTCAAAAAATAAAAATTGAAGTAGCCAAGTTTTCTATCAAGAATGGAAAATATATTATAATTAAAAGTAAAACCCCACTAAGTATAGGTTTGAAAGCAGTGGCCATGAGGATCAGTTAAATTCAGTCTTTCAATCACTCAGACAAGTCTCTCCTCTAAGATATGATTATTATTAAAATACAACTTCCTAAGTAAATGAGCTGAGTGAAAATATATATTACAACCACTGTTATTGCTTTGTAATAGACTAAAACTCTAATAACTTTCTTAACATTAAAAGGCCTATGAATGAAAAATTATTTGGAAGAAACACACCTAACACAACGTGCATGCAATCTAGTTCCCCTAATTCACTGTGTAAGCAGTTCAAAAAGGCTCACATTACTCAACCTCACAAAATAATCAAGGGAGAAAAGAAAGGTTTTTGGAGCACTTCTATCTTCTCCAAATAAGTGAATATGAAATAACTTTTAGTATTTCACAAAAATGTCCACTTTTCCCTTTTAACTAATTACCAGTAAACATCATGTTGTTCCCACTTCATGTTTTATAAATATAATGTCAATTCCAACTAAAACATCTCATCTACAAACACCTCAAAGCAGAACTGTTACAAACGTAAATTATTAAAAATATAACTTTAACCTTGCTATGATGCTAAATTTCACTAAAAGATATTGTGTAACACAAACTTGCAATTTATAATAGCCTAACTTTCCATTTACATTAAAATGTGAGGACATAACTCAAATACTTCTCCTAGTAGGCTCTGGAAATGGTACTTTTACAAAAGCTTAACAAATCCAAAAATTGGTGTAAAAAAAAAAAAATCCTTGGTTTAATTATTCAACTGCCATATCTTCACAGGCAACAACGTGTGTGTTAGGGCTGTCACAGATCTGAGTGTCACAGATGCCCAACGCTGGACACCAGCGTCCTGTCTTATGTATTCGATCCCCTTATTAAAAATTCGTAACAATGTGAGCCTTTCGCGGCCGCCCAGCCCCGGGTCTGCCTGCGGCAGGGCCGGCTCTGCTCCGCGGCGGGGACTGGGGACGGTGCGGCTCGCACTTGTATTTACATCAGCAGAGCTAAATGCCCAATGGTGAGAGGGGAGCCAATCAGATGGCAGATTAGATGTCAACTCGGAGGCAGCTGTCTGGAGACTATTACAGCCAGTTTACCTCCACAATTCAAATTCCAAACCTCCGCCGCGGAGCGCCGGCCTCGGCCCGGCCTGCGAGCGGGCACGGCCGGCCAGCAGGGCGCTTCCCCCCGCGCTGCGGGGCGGGGGCCGCACACGAACGAGAACCCCAAGAAACCCGGCCCGGGGCCCTTTCCCCGCCGCCCGAGCCCGGCCCCGCTGCGCACAGTCCGCTGGCCCCGATCGGAACGCGCTCCCCGCGCCCGGCGCGGCCCCTGGCCCCTGTCCGCTGAAGGTGACTCCGCGGGCGCCGCCGCCGAGGCCGGCTTTCCCGGCGGCTGTGCGAGGCGATCGATAGGCCCCAGGGTGCCCCCCTCCGCCCCGGGGCTCACCGGGTGTGTGTCCGCGCCCGAGCCCGCCCCGGGCGTCTCCGGGCGGCCGGGCGGCCCGCGGACGGCGCGCGGCGGCCACAAAGCTCGGCGCCCCGTCACCTTGGGGCGCGCGGCGCGGGGCGCGGGGACCGAGCGCCGCGCTCCTTCCCCCGGGGAGGCGCCACCCGGGGCCGGGGCCGCGGTCCGGCCGGTCCGCCCGATGGCGTTACAAAAGCCGCCCGCCCGCCCGCCCGTCCCCGTCCCCGGCCCCGTCCCCGCGCCGGCGCCCACCCGGCGGCCACCCGGCGGCGCAGTCCCGGCGGCGCGCGGCCCGGCCCGGGGCGGGGTGGCGGCGGGGAGCGCGGCGCCGGCCGTGTCCGCGCCGGGCCGGCCTCGGCCAGCCCCCGCACCCCGGACCCCCGGACCCCGGGCCGCGCGCCCCCTCCCCGGCCCCGGCCCCCGCCCCCGAAAGCGGCCCGGGCGCCGGCCCCCGCCTCCCGCCGGGACGCGGAAAAGTCGCGGAAAGAAAGAAACTAGGGCCGGGCGCGCGCGAGGCCGCGGCGGAAGCAGGCCCGGCGCCGCGCTCACCTGCGGTCTGCCCATGCCGGGGCCCGGGGCGCCGGGGCTCATGGCCGGGTGGCTCCTTTGTTGCGCGGCCGCCCAGGCCGGGCCGGCGGCGGCGTACGGGGCGCCCATGTCCTTGCCCAAGCCCATGCCCGCCGCCTGCGGGCCGCCCGCCGCCGCCGGGGACGGGGGCTGGGGCTGCGCCGGCGGCGGCGCGCCGGGGCCGCTGTAGTCGGGGTAGCCGCCGCCGTAGCTCCGCATCATGGGGCTGGGCGAGGTGAGCAGCTGGTTGAGGGTCGGGGTGGCCCCCGACGGGTGCTGGTTCTGGCCGGCGAAGCGCTGGAAGCCCCCCGCCGCCGCCGCGCCGCCGGCCGCCTTGCTGAGGCTCGCGGCCCCGCCGCCGCCGGGGCCCATCATCATGTCGCCGCCGCCGCCCTGCTGCTGCCGCTGCTGCCGGGGGGAGCTCAGCGCCCCGAGCCCCGAGGACGGGCCCCCATAGCCGCCGCCGCCGCCGCCTGCTGCTGCTGCCGCCGCCGCGGCCGCCGCCGCCACAGCTCCCGCTCCCGCTCCTCCTCCTCCTCCTCCTCCTCCTCCTCCTCCTGCGTTGCCTCCTCCTCCTCCTCCTCCTCCTCCTCCTCCACCTCCTCCTCCTCCTCCTCCGCCGCCGCCGCCGCCGCCGCCCGCGCCGGGCCGGCCGTAGCCCGGATGATGGTTGCACTGGCCGCCGGGGTGGCCTCCGAGGGCGCCGCGCAGGGGGTCCGTGCCGCCGGGGGCGGCGGCGGCCGGGGCGGCGCGCATCACCCCCAGCGCGGCGCTTTGTTGTCCGCCATGTTGATCAAAGCCGGGCCCGGCGCGGCCGCGGCTCGCGGGGCCGGCGCCGCCGTAGTACTGAGCGGGCTCCGGGCCGCCCCCCGCCGGCCCCGGCCCCGGCGGCGGCGGCGGCGCGCCCGGGCCGCCCGGGCCCGCGGGCTCGCAGCGGCCGCCCGCCGGCTCCCCCATCTTGGGCGGCGCGTCGTGCTCGGCGCCCGGCGGGGCCGGCGGAGGCGGAGGCGGGCCCGGGTCGGCGCGGCCGCCCGCGGCACTGTCCTTGGCGCCTCCATGTTGCGGCGGCGGCTCCATGGCGGGGCCGGGCGGAGCCGCGCCGCCGGGGCCGGGGCCGGGGCTGGCGGGGGGCGGCGCGGGGCGGCGGGGCGGGCGGCGGGCATGGAGGTGGCGGTGGGCACGGTGGTGGCGGGGCTGCGGGAGGGGCGCGGCGGGGGCCTCGCCCGCGGCTGGCGGGCTGTGGTTGGGGAGCAGCCCCGGCTCCATGGCGGAGCGCGGGCCCGGCGCGGAGGGCGCGGCGGCGGCGGCGGAGGGCGGCGGCGCTCGGGGCGCCGGGGGTGCCGGCGGCCGCGCTCAGGGCCGTGCTCCGCTCGGGCCCGGGGCGGGGGGCGCCCTGTCCGGGCCGCCGCCCCCCAGCGCCCCCGCCTGCGGGCACCGGGCACCGGGCACGGCCCGGGGGGCGCCCGCCGCTCGCCCGCGCGGCCATGATCGGCCGGCCGGCCGGGCGGGGGGACAATACACCCCCTTTCCCGCCCGCGCCCCTGCGCACCCACGGCCCCGGCCGGCGGGGCCGGTGACCCCTCCCTGGCCGCGCGAGGCCGGAGCCGGAGTCACGCCTCGCGGCCCGGCCCGCTCCCGCCGGGGGTTCACGGAGGAAGTTTGAGTTCGGGTTTAAAGGAAACTTTTCTCCTCTCGCGCCCGCATTTAGGCAAACGGGCGCCTGGCTGCGCCGCCCGGCCCCGCGGCGAGCGAGGAGCACCGTCCTCCCCGGCTTCGCACCCGCAAAACGCGGCCTGGACGCGGCCCCCCGGCCCGGCGCGGCGGCGGCTGGGGCGGCCGAGCCCGCGCTCTCCCCTCTCCCCCGTCTCCTGGCCGCCGGGCGCCGCGTGTTCGCTCTCCCGTCCGAAGGGAGCGGGGCGAAGGCGGAGGACGGGTGTGACGGGCACACACACAAAAGGGAGAGGGAAGGGCCGCGGACAAAGTTGTCCGTTGTCCCCACGGGTTCGGAGGAGCCGGCGGGGAGAGGAAATGTAGGAGCGATCGTGCGGCCGCAGGGCCTCTCCCCGCGGTTATGTAACCTTCCCGAAGGCGCCTCTGGCCTCGCGGCCCGGGTTCGGGGCCATGGGCCTTAATTCCCACAACTTCTCCAAACTCAGACGAGGAGCTGGAGTGAGGGTTAGCCACAGCCGAGGAGCTGTGTGCCCTGCGCACAACTTGAGTACCCGCCCCTGCCCCGCAGTTGATGTTAATGTAAGTGTGTTGAAGGCACCTCGTGCACATGTGCAGGCTCATCAGTGAAAACTGGAAACAGTACCCCTAGAGGAGAGCCTTTCTTACACGTGTCTGTCCTCTGAAAGGAAGTCTCCTCCAGTGAGAAGAGTGTGCTGTGACCCCAACAACGTGCACATGGAAATGGAACAATCCATATGACACCTTTCCCCATATTGCGGAGGTTAATATTCACAATTAACCTTCCCGAGATGAATTCATTTCTAAGTAATTTAAAACACGTTATATTTAATAAACATAAGATCAATAATGATATGAATCGATCATACCTAATCCTAGAGTAGAAATGTCCCATGCTTTGTTCTTTAACAATACTACAATGTTTTTACCAGTTTACGGCATTTTAAGTGTGTTTATTTTTCATTTATTACCAGGTGACACCCTGACTATCCACAAAGCCGCCTCAGCCTAAGCAATGGCTCCCTTGCACTAGTGTGGATTCCGTTTTCATGGACGGAAAGCATTGGAAACCAGAGCTTTCGAGAGGTCACACTAGCTGAAATAATATATGATTTTCGTAGAATGGAGTTTTGTAAAATGATTTCATTCTCCAGCTTTTCATAAAGACTATTTCGGTTTATTTCAAGCGCAGTGGTTGTATTTGTTTGCTTGACCAAGTATCAATGTTACATGACAAAATAGAAAAAGATAGATGGGAAAAACTCGGGACCGATCAGGGGGGAAGGGAGTCATGTGCATACCCTAGGGTTATTATGGAGTAGAAACAACAAATTGCAATCTATGTGAACAATTGGAAGACTGCTTATATCATCCTGAGCAAGAGAGAATAACAACTGTAAGGTGGATTCACACCAAATCATCAGTTTTTGCCAAGAGAACACTACATCTTTGTTACTGTGCCTTTTTGACATTTTTCTTCTGGATTTTCTCCCTATATATCTCCAAATACGGTGCATACTAATTATATGCATTATATCACGTAAGTTGAACTTGTTAAGTTTTCACCTGCAAATATAAATATATGTCTCTTGTTTATGTGTGTATATTTACATATTTATGCTTTTAGACATTTAGTCAAACTAAATATATACATACAATTAAAAAGGTATATTTTTTTTCAAACTGATAAAATACATCAAAGTCAATTCATACAAGGGTAGCCATATTTCTGGCTTATCTTTAATAACTAATTCTAAAACGGAAAATTGAGTCACCAAGTTCAGCTCTGGCACATTTCTTTAAAATATTATTTCATGAAAAGTCATGAAAGTTAAAAAAAAAAAAAAGGGGGGGGGGATGTAAGTCAAAATCTTTTTTAAGTCTGTTTGCTTCAGCAAGTCATCTAGAAGACTGAACCAACAGGCTCTGGAATAGAGGGCCCCAAGCACAATGCAATCAGTCTGCTCTCACAGGCGACACATGCCAGTTTCTGCTCCCTGATGGCAGATGCCACACCCTGCAGCAGACAGAAGGCACTGCAGGCTGCAAGAGAAGCACAGCACAAAGCCAGCAGGACTTGGTTTTGCCTTTTAAACCGGAGAGAGTGCTGAAATACCTTTTTAGAAGCATCTCACCGAAGACAAGTAGCGGCCTTCTATCTACTCACCTGACCCTTTTCACACACGCACCTCGAAAACAAAATTAAGGCCTCTGATCGTTTCATTTCAAAACCCAAGACTTAGTCAACAAAATGGCAATTGTCGGGGGTCCCTCAGAAGGTGAAGAGACAGATTCACATCGCCCAAAAACGCAGGGTGGACTGCAAATTCTACCATCACTTGCCTCCATTACCCTACATGGCAATTCTACATTATTTTCTCTTTTGATGAAAAGGTAGTAGAAATCACTGCGTTCGTTTTTCCTAATGAATTCCTTATTTTTACACCTCCTGCCCAAATGTCAAGCCGTGATGACAACTTTAATAAGTTGCTCTGGCCACAAAGAGGCCGCAGAGGTGGAAGCCTGGAAGCGGCCCAACGGCCACACGCACACAGCGGGCTCCCACCCACAGGTTGCCCCGTGCCCTCGTGTTTAGCCAGAGGATTATTTTGTTAAACATTCCTTTTTGGCTGCAAAAACAGCTTGGTTTTGTGTGTGTGTGTGTGTGTGTGTGTGTGGTTAACAATATGAAAAATTAATATTCAAATGCAGCTCCTTTGAATACGTTTCAGGGTGCTGAATAAAAGGCCGTCCGGCTTGCCGCTCCGAGGACGGGGCCAGATGGCAGTTGAAGAATGCCACAGTTCCTTTTGCCTCGCCGGAGCCCATCAGACTGTTTGCTTTCAGATTAGTCCCCTTTTAGTGTTCTGGGTATTTATTCAGTAACTGAAACTATCACGATTCACTACCCATCATATTTCTCAGTATTCTTTACATAATTTGGAAGCAATTTGGAATTAAGCCCTGTCAAGGTTTTACAAATAAGAACTACCAAAGAAAAAGGCTTTGGATACTTGCTTTCCTTTTAGATTTATGAGAAACGCGATGAATGGAGCTAATGGGATTTCCCTACTGATCCCGGTCAGGGACTTGAAAGAGCGCTAAACAATTGTCCTTTTCACTTCCCCGATTTAGACGTTAGCGGTGAATAACTGAGTAAATACGGGATATACCATTTGATTTAAAGCAACTATGTACGTTAATAGTGGTCCATACGTTTAGGATGCAAAACAATTAAGATTTTTAAAAATCTAGGCAAATAATTTGAATGAATTTGGGACTCTGATGATCAATAAATAGCACTATTGTACTTGAGAAGAATATTCTAGTGGGGATAATAAACTTTGATGGTGGAAAACTACACTGATGCATTCAACAAATTTATCTAGACTCTACCTTGTATATTCAAGAATTTTATCTAGAATTGCCTTTTTGAGAATAAAAACGGTAAACATTACATTGGTCCTAAAACAGTCTGGCTTCACTGAAACATGGAGGGCTTGAACAGTCAGCAAGCAGCTCCGACTTCCGATTCCCACCCAATATTGTTCCTGTGGGCCTGTTGGCTGCCATTGGGGGCACCGAGCCCTCATCTCCTCAGCTTTGACACTGGGAACCTAACACCGTTGGAACTAGACTTTCAGAACCTTAAGTCAAATTCAACATTAAACTATTACGGTACAATTTCTCTCCAAAGTCCCTAAAAACATAGCAATCCCAGTGACATCCATGATGGAATACCATCTCCCTGGTGGTCTAGTGGTTAGGATTCGGCGCTCTCCCATGATGGAATACCTTGTTACATATTGGAAATTGCAC